TATATATATATATAAAAGCATAAAATAGTCCCAAAAAGAACTCTTAATTAATGTTTTTAGGGGCATGTAAAAGAGAATCACAGTCCCCGAGCTTCCGCACATATTATTGAGACAAATGAAGTATAGCAATTGTACTTGAACACTACACACAACTCCATTAATTGAGACGACACATAAATAGAGTAAATATTTTGTGGAGAGTGATTGTATTTTAAGACATAAATAAGGGTACAATAATAAGAAACTTCTCCTAAATTATGTTTTTTAACGGATGTGTAAAAGCACATCATGACAAATAATTTCAGACGGAGAGAGGGAGGGAGTGGGTAATAAAGTTAGCATTTAATGCTAACCTCCAATGTAGGTGAACTAACAACAGAGTCAATAACTATACAATATACACCATGTCCCTACTACAACTTGTTCCTATTTAATTTATCAATGTTACTAACATTTATGTACCCTTTTTTTTTTACTTCATTTTTTTAATTATAGGCATGAGATTGTGGGTGTAGTGACAGAAGTTGGTAACAAAGTTGATAAATTTAAGATTGGTGACAAAATTGGTGTTGGATGTCTAGTAGGATCATGTCAAAAATGTGACAATTGTGCAAATGATCTTGAAAATTATTGTCCCAAACAAATACAAACATATGGTCAAATGTACATCGACGGAACGATGACGTACGGTGGTTACTCCGATATCATGGTTGTCGATGAGCATTTCGCGGTCCGTTGGCCGGAGAATTTACCGATGGAAGCTGCACCATTGTTATGTGCTGGTATCACAACTTATAGCCCATTGAAATATTATGGGCTTGATAAGCCTGGTTTGAACATTGGTGTTGTGGGCCTTGGTGGGCTGGGCCATATGGCTGTGAAATTTGCTAAGGCCTTTGGGGCTAATGTCACAGTTATAAGTACTTCTCCTAGTAAAGAAGAGGAAGCCCTTAAACATCTCGGTGCGGATAAGTTTTTACTTAGCAACAATCCTGAGCAAATTCAGGTTTGTATAATTTGGGGATTTTTGTCTATGCAATGTTGTTTTAAATTATAGGGGGGTAGTTGAGCATGTCAGATCAAATTAATAAACGAATCATGATTCAGTCCATTCGAAGTTGGTGTTTGGTCAAAATAGGTCAAAAGTGAGTCATAACATGTTTCAAATCTAGCTTATTTGGTTAAACTTTAAAATTCTACTTATTTTGAAAAGTGTTTTTACTTATAACTACTTTTCAAAAAGTAATTTTAAAGAAAACAGTTTGTGTTTTGATAATCATTTTGAAAAATGCTTTTGCCAATATCAGTGCAAGCTAGTTGTATTTGACCAATATTTCAAAAGACCTTCCGGAGACAAACTATTTCTTTTCAACTTTTGCTACTAAAACACTTTTAAAAAGGAAAAAAAAAACTTGAACAAGTACCTCTACTTTGTCAAATTAAATCTTTTTGTAAAGTGAGATACAAAACATTTGACTGTTTAGAAGTTTGGTCAAACATGCATTTTAACCTGTCGTGTTACACTATCATGATGGATCATTTTAGGTTCAACCAAATCAACAAACTGATCATAACTTAACTTGTTTAAACTTGGACGGGTTATTAAAAGATTGAGCCGATTTGTCACCTCTAGTTGAAATTTATGATTTTTTTTAAAAATCTTGAATTAATGTAACAGGGTGCAATGAACACATTGGATGGAATTATTGATACTGTTTCAGCAGTTCATCCACTTTTACCATATCTTGGTATGTTAAAGCCTCATGGTAAACATGTTATAGTTGGTGCAATTCCTCAACCACTTGAAATGCCAGTGTTTCCTTTAATCTTGGGTAAGTTTACTCTTCGAATTCTAAGTTGACTTAGCTAAAGATAGAACACAATATAAATAAGTCCTAATGTTTATAGTTCGATTTTGTATATTGGTCATGATACATCAATATACATTCAAATTTAGTCTTAAATATAAAATATGCACGTCTAGACACCTCAACTCATTTTCATTGTGTCAGTTGAACATTCCAACTTACAAAACGATCATCTAGACACTACTAGAAACAAAGGTTTTTCCCACGGCTGATTAGTTGGAAAGTTATGCTATAGATCATAATTTTCCAACCGAACCAACTTACTAGAAAAATGCATGGTGAAAAACAATTTTTCAATGAAATAGTGAGAAACTTTCTGTATGAAAACATTATTATTATTATTTTTCCCACCAATTCAATCAAAATATTTATCGGAATAGACACACATTTTCCAATGGGAGAATAGTGATTGTTTAGTAGTGAGACACCTCTAAAATTTATGTGTCACGTCAGCATAAGTGTCTACGAGACACAGTGGGGACGAGTTGGAGTGTTTAGTTGTCAATTGAGACCAAGTTGAGATGTCCAGATATGCACTCTCAAAGTTGAAATATAATGTTTACTTGTCATTTAAGGCCAAGTTTAAGTGTCTGTTTAAATATTATGCCAGATTACCGTTGTTGTTACGTACTCTTTAAACTATTTAAGTTCATATTGAAGTATAAGTGTATAATGTGGAAAACAGGAAGGAAGACAATTGCTGGGAGTGCAATGGGAGGAATGAAAGAGACTCAAGAAATGTTAGATTTTGCAGCAAAGCATAACATAACACCAGATGTTGAAGTCGTAGCGATGGACTACGTGAATACAGCATTGGAACGTCTTGTTAAATCCGATGTCAAGTATCGATTCGTGCTAGATATGGGCAAAAAAATGAACAATGTTTAATCTCAAAACCAAATTTTTTTGGTTCTTGAAAATCATTGTTGATCTTCTTGATGTTGTGTGTGTTTTTTAAGATGTCTTGTTTTAGTATGTTAGTGTCTTTGCTTAGTTATGTAAGTTATTCACAACTTGAAAGACAAATAATTTGTTGTTTGCTTGTGTTCTTCACGGATGCTCGCCAAATATATCACTCTTCTTGCTATTATCAAAATAAGATGAAAGTTATAAATTGGTCATTCTTGACTTATGATTTTGTGACTTATAAGCACTGTTAATCTGATCAATTTTTTTTACGATTTCATCTCTAATTTTTTTTTGTAATTTTCAAATTTTAAATAAATGAATGTGTAAAAATAAAATAGTCGCTCCTTGACCTATTGTAGAGTGTAGACATTGAAATTTTGTGAGATTTTACAAGACGTGTTCAATTCGAATTGGGACTCTAGATGGTGTTCAATTTCAATTAGAATTCTTGGAAGCTACTCAACCCTAAACCCTAGTTCATGCCTATATAAAGGGTACTAAATTCCCTTAAAAGACATATCGATATATTCCAGAAAAGTTATGGAATATTCATATAGAAGTCAAATCTAAATTATTCTAGTTCGAGAAATACGCCACTAATGGCCCTCATATCATGAATAAACCTTATGAGAGGAGAATCAAGAAGGAACAGAATTCTACCCGCACTATTATCAATAAAATATTTATGTTTCTTCAGATTTTATTTGTGTGATTAATTTATTTTCCATATGTTTAAAATTTATCGCAAACACTTACATATACAAATATGTAATTGTTTATTTAGAGAATCACACACTTATAATTATCGATTATTTTTTTTATAATCAGCTAACAATATTGGATTCCAATTTCCAAAGTCATTTTCAAAATAAATCCATGTGTTCACATTATTATTTAATACTATGAACTTGATAAGATAAGATAATTAATTTCATTGACCTTTTTTTACTTTAGAGAAAATGACAGGATAATGACGGTATAACAAACATGATTAACTTGTCTAAATTATGTTAAAGAATTAACCATCCCATTTAAGATGGTCAATGTTAGGTCCGTGCGTAACCTAGTGATTAATAAATTCAGTTGAAAATTCTGAGATTCAAGCCCACTTTTCTATCAAAATAAAAAATATTAGATGACTTGTTTTCAATTCGTTCAAATTTTATGAGCAAAATTAAACATAAGCATGTTCAGATATTGCGATTATAAAAAAAAAAATTAAAAAAAATCAATATATTCTGTCTAACGACTATTCAAAAACATCACTTTTTTTAGACATCATAACAACCAGTCCATATTGGCAACACTATTGAAGAATTTAGTTCTCTAATACATCACCAATGACGTCAATCTGTTCCACACTTTTCTTTTCTTTTTTCGTTCCGTATTCGTATTTAAGTCAGATTAAATCTGTGTTCGTTCATTTTTTGGGGATAACACTTTCAACAAGATCTTATCCAATTTCAGAGGCTCGAGCTCAAAACCTCTAACCAAGAATAAAACAATCTCAATCATCTTATTGTAATTCATGTTAATATCCGAATTTGATCCGACTAAATTTAGATTTGCATATTTTTAAAATAAAAACATGTTTATTTATTTAAACCTTTAATTAATGAATAGCCAATGAATAGCCAGCCCATCACTTGCACATTATTTCACCCATTTTCTATAGTTCCACCACCAATATTACTATTATATATTTGAACCACAACTTTATTCCATTCAACTTTTTCAACAATAGTGAAAAATTCAAGAATTGAGTTATGGAAAAATCACCAGAAGAAGTGCACCCTGTAAAGGTTTTTGGTTGGGCAGCTACAGACACTTCTGGAACACTCTCCCCCTTTAAATTCTCCAGAAGGTATTATTGATCGGACTCTTCAAAAATATTTATCAATTATTTTAAGGATCTGACACGGTCGAATAACATTCAATATAGATTTTTTATTAATACAATAGCAACATATCCAGTATAGTCCTAAAGTGGAGTCCGAGGAATGTAGAGAGGTTGTTTTTGATAGTAAAGCAGTCCAGAAAAAAAAAGTAACAGAAATAAATATAGTAACTACGACAAAATAATATGATAGACGAATTACGAGGTTTTGGTTAATTTTTTGTTTTGTGTTTGCAGGGCTACTGGTGATAAAGATGTGAAATTGAAGATACTTTATTGTGGTATTTGTCATACTGATCTTCATCAATTGAAGAATGAATGGGGATTTTCTAAATATCCTATGGTTCCTGGGTATGTTCTCAAATCTTATATTATTCAAATTATGACGGTTTTGATCCTTTGGAACAACTCGATGAATTTAGTAGATTGTTTTAGGAGGTCCTAATGACTATAGATCGAATCTATCCAATTTTTGAGTCAATCCGCTAGTAGTATTGTCTGCTTTGGGCCTAGGCCTGCACGACTTTAAAATGCATCACTAGTGGATAAGGTCTGCTTACTTATATATCAAACATCTCTTATGTGTTTTACCGATATGGGACTTCTTTATCTTAAGTTGGGGTGTCACAATAGTGGGGTCTCTAGATGGTAGTTTACGCAAACCTTGCCCCTACCTCAAAGATATAGAGGTTTTTTTTTTGATGGACCTTGGCTACGGTATCACCATAAATTTAAATAAGAGAAGTTGTTTTGCAACTGTATGAAGTTCAAAGAAAAATAAATGAAACTATTGATTCTGATGAAGTATTTTTTGAGTTATAGCAGCCAGAGTAAATAGGAGGTTAGTAAGTTCATTTACGTTTTCACGCAAAAAATTTGTCCTCTGTCAAAACATTAACGATTTAACTTATATACACTGACAATACAAAGAGAATCTTGCAGTTCATTATATCTTGACTTCTTGTAGCTGGTAATTTGTCTTATTTTTAGTGTCACTAATCCTACGTTTTATGGTTGGTTACCGTTAGTTATCTTTTGAGTGACCTGATAGTGTAAAAATTCTAATACAGACATGAGATTGTGGGTGAAGTAACTGAGGTTGGTAGCAAGGTGGAGAAATTCAAACTTGGAGATAAAGCTGGTGTGGGGTGTCTAGTTGGATCATGTCGATCTTGCGAAAACTGTAACAACGATATCGAGAACTATTGTTCTAAGGGAATAGCCACCTATAGTGCAATGTACCATGATGGAACACCAACGTACGGAGGCTACTCGGACATAATCATTGTTGATGAACATTTCGTTGTTCGTGTCCCAGAAAACATGCCCCTAGCTGCTGCAGCTCCTCTGCTTTGTGCTGGAATTACAACTTACAGCCCGTTGAGGTACTTTGGACTTGATAAACCGGGGCTTCACGTTGGTGTAGTAGGTCTTGGTGGACTTGGTCATGTTGGTGTTAAGTTTGCCAAGGCTTTAGGGGTAAAGGTGACGGTTATTAGTACGTCTCAAAGTAAACAGAAGGAAGCTATTGAACGTCTCGGTGCTGATTCGTTTTTGATTAGCTCTGATCCGGATCAGCTACAGGTAACTAAAATGAAAAACAAATGTGTATTGTCATAGAATAACGTCTCGTAGACTTGTAGTACTAAACTATGGTTCTTGTATTCATAGGCTGCTATGGGCACAATGGATGGCATTCTTGATACAGTTGCTGCTACTCACCCTGTCCTACCGTTGATCGGCCTATTGAAGACTAATGGGAAACTTATCATGCTCGGTGGAGTGACAAAACCTCTCGACCTACCCGTCTTTCCATTACTTATGGGTGAGTACATTACTCTTGCTATCTAGATTTTGACATGACCATACAAGGAATGTGTTTTAGTTCTTAGTTATAGTGTAAATAAGTCGAGAATCGTGTATTATGATAGGGAGGAAGCTCGTAGCTGGAAGTGGGATCGGAGGGATGAAAGAAACGCAAGAAATGATTGATTTTGCTGCAAAACACAATATAACAGCAGATATTGAAGTCATTCCAATGGATTATGTCAATACTGCAATGGAACGTCTCGCTAAAGCTGATGTCAAGTATCGTTTTGTCATTGACGTTGCTAAGACCCTCAAACCAGATGAGTAGACGACTATGAGTTCTTCTTCATGTAATTCTAGTATTTCATGATGTTTTGGGCGTTAAACGATGACTTTTGATTTCTTCTTGTGGAACATTACTAAAGAAAATGCATACATAATAAAGTTTGAGTGGCTTCTCAAATGTTGGAAACCAATTGCAGTCTTTTATCTTCAATGATAAGTTCTGGTAATGAAGCAAGTTTCAGTTTTTCATACGCGGTGAAAAGTATTAGGTGATTTCTTATTATAGAACATTTTCTCGGAACAAGTTACCTTGTACATTGTGCTAGTGAGAGATAGTATATACCTGATGGATTAGTCGAGGTGCGAGAAAATTGGTCAAGATGCCATCGTCATCAAAAAAAAAAACATAGCAGGAGTATGGAGACAATGATATATGAGTTTTGCCACTTTTGATACTTCAGAAAGATGAGTAAACTACAAGAAAAATCACAACTTCTTGATCTCATTCCCTTGAACTAAAAATGAGGGTGTATATTTTATTTGTCAGTTTCAATGTCAACCATTGTTTGATGACCAACCAAGATTACGAGAGGGTACCTCCATCTTTAATCAGAGATTTCAAATTTCAGTATTCAAACAAGTACTGAACAAAGAGCGGAAACTAAACAAAAATGTTTTGTTAGTCGCATAATTCTCAAGTCAATTATGAAGGCCAAATATGTTTTGTTTAAGGTCCATTCAAAAGAACACTTTTTAAAACTGACCAGTCCATATTGACAACTCTAGTAGTAAACAAAGCAAATTTTTTAAAGAATTTAATTCCCTAAAAATTGACTAAATGCAATTTGTACCATACTTAAAACACCATAATAATATAGAGTTAATCACTTAACACTTTAGTAAAAAAAAAAATCAAGAATGCACCCTGTTGAGGCTTTTGGTTGGGCTGCTAGAGACACTTCTGGATTCCTTTCCCCATTCAACTTCTTTAGAAGGTATACATCCTTTTTATCATGTTTTTTTCCTTAATAATAATGATGTTCATGACTATCAGAAACGTCTCTACGTACTTGTGGGACTACACTGGATATGTTGTAGTTGTTGTTCACACTATAGTTGACTTCAACCACAACGTCCA